ATCATCATCATCATCATCATCATCATCATCATCATCATAATCATCATCATCATCATCATCATCATCATCATCATCATCATCATCATCATCATCATCATCATCATCATCATCATCATCATTCCCCTCCTCCTCCCCCTCCCCCTCCTTCTCCTCCTCCTCCCCCTCCTCCTCCTCCTCCTCCTCCTCCTCCTCCTCCTCCATTCCGACTTTCTTGGCCCCGGATCCGCTCTTGATGGCCTCCGGGGCCCGAAGGCGGGCCCCCGATTTTGGACGAAGTCGAGAACGGAGGCTGGGCCTACACGCTGTTCTGCTGGACTTCGGCTGTGCTTTGTTTTTGGTTTTGGGAGGGAGGTGCAGGAAAACAGGTAGAGCAGAACGAAGAACAATACGAAAACAAAACGGAAAATAACGTTTAGGTCCAGTTGAGGACGGACGCCCCGATTTATCAAACGTGGGGCGAGGCGGCGCGCGCGCGGGTTGACAGCGCGGGCTGGCGCACGCACGTGGCCGAGTACAGTAGTGAACGAGTTTGCCCCAAGACGGCCCAAGAGGCCTCCAAGAGGGCCCCAAAACGGCCCCAAGAGGGCCCCAAGTGGGGCCCAAAAGAGGGAGCACGAACTGAAAATCTGAGTCTTCCACCCCAAGAGGCGCCCAGGAGGTCCCAAGAGGCGCCCCGGAGGCCCCACGAGGCCGCCAAGAGACCCCCAGCCGCCGTCGCGTCGCCGCCGCCATCACGTCCCCTCCTTTCCCTGAGTCCGTCGCCGCTCCCACCCTTTCCTTAGGCCTTGCTGCGCCTGCGTGCACTCTGGGCCTCCCAGATAGCGTCCGAGCAGATGGGGTCGGCGGAGGGTCGCGCCGCATCGCTGATGCATCGCCGATGCGACTCGATGTGGAGCCCGACTTTCTCCACGCTGGCGTCGCTGATGCATCGCCGATGTCGCCGATGCATCGCCGATGCATCGCCGATGTCTCGCCGATGCGTCGGTGATGCGGCGCGATCCTCCGGCCCCATCGACTCTGACCCCATCTCGGAGGCCTCTCATTAGTGAGCGAGTGTGCCCTTGGTGCGCCTCCGTGTGCAGGAGTACGATGCAACTTTCGCAGGAGACCTTCCACAGCGGAAGCATGTCTCACATGTCTGGTCCTGCTGGGGAAGGAGGGGAAGGGGAGAGGGAGGAGTAGAGGAGGAGGAGGAAGAGGAGGAGGAAAAGGAGGAGGAGGAGGAGGAGGAAAATGAGGAGGATGAGGGGGAGGAGGTTGAAACGCTTCAGGCTTTGACTTATAGTTAACGCAACTTCAAGAAAGGAGGAGGAGGCGGTGGAGGAGGAGGAGGAGGATGCGAAAACACGTCGACTTCCCGCGCGTACAGGAATTACCAGTGATGCGTAGCATTAGAGCAGCAGCTGCGTCTGGCACCAGTGTGGCGGAACAGTTCTGCGACAGTGATACATGTTAGTGGTGTGCTGCAACTATTTGGCTCAAGTGTGGCTGTCCTCCAAGGAAGCTCGGCTCTTATCATATTTGGATGGTAGCGAAGCCCGTAGTTCGCCTCACGGTATCCTGTGCGCGCGCGGTTAACTCCGCGAAACAGTTGCCTCCATGCGATTGCCGCGGCGGCAGCCGCGACGTCTCCGCCGAGACTTGGCGTGACGTTATCCGTGGTCTTAGAGGCATGGTAGTCAGCTGGTTACACATAGGACAGGAGGAAGTGGAAGCAAACTCGCGAGCGAATTCAAGGTGGTTCGGCAGTTCAAAGCTTTCTAGGGTGACCGGACCACATTCAGGAATGGAGCGAAAATTTGTTGAATGTGCTTGCCCAATTGAAGCATTTGTATCTGAAGGTCTTGTATTTTTTTGAATAACCAGTTCGAGACCATGGATGGGGCATAGCCCGATGACGGATAGGATGGTTTATTCGTAATCATGAGCAGAAGGTTATTTAACGCTCAGCGAGAATATGGAAGCGCCACATACCAAGAGACAAGAAGACGACGCGGAAATGAAATCTGTTAGAGGACGACTACGCACATTCAGCCGAGGACTAAAGATATCTGTTCAACGACGACTCCGAAGAAACGGAGCCGCGCGGAGAGCTCAAAGGTCTTCACGAAATTGACGGTTGAATGGGTAAACGCACGATAAACATGGTATTCTGCCGTTCTTGGGGTCGCGCTCCCACACAAGATGAGCCCGGCAATGAAACCAGAACGTCCCGAAAGTGTGAACCATGGTGTAACCCAGTTTGAACAGTGGAGTGCGTTGGTAGAGTCTCTGGAGAAGTATGCGTCTGCGTTTCGTTGCCATTGTCACTCATGATTGCTGCGATGAGGATCAGAAGACGTGAGCGGAAACTGCGGCTCGCACCAGGTGGGCCAGGGCATGGGCAGAGGTAGCATGTCCGTGTGTAACAAGTGTTGAGGTGCGGATAATGGCGCGTTGCCAAAGGCTGCGCCGCAAAAGGAACTGCCAAAATAAAAGGAGTTGGACAACGGGGATACTAAGGAGTCAAGGGTTACCAGGGGGTGCAGGCAGGAGGATGCAGAGAGGGTTTTTAAGGCAGGAAGGGTTACTCATGGGGGCCACGCAAGGGGGGCCGCGAAGGAGATTCCCCAGGAGAGCGCCAAGTGAGCTGAGCCCCAGGCTGGAAAGGATGAGGCAATGGGGGCTTTGCGCTGATGAGAGAGAGTGAGAGAGGGAGAGAGAGAGAGAGAGAGAGAGAGAGAGAGAGAGAGAGAGAGAGAGGAGAAAGAAAGAGAGAGGAGAAGAGAGAGAGAGAGAGAGAGATAGAGAGAGAGAGAGAGAGAGAGAGAGAGAGAGAGAGAGAGAGAGAGAGAGAGAGAGAGAGAGAGACAGAGAGAGAGAGAGAGAGAGAGAGAGAGAAAGAGAGAGAAAGAGAGAGAGAGAGAGAGAGAGAGTGTTGCACATTCGGTGAACAAGGTCACATCGCGGCCCGATGCCTCAAGAACGCCAGCAAGGCTACCCTGGGTAGAGGGGGGCGGGGGGCATGTGGGGGGGCCCGCGCAGATGGTCGGGCAACCTCTACTTCGGCTGGAATGCTAACGCGTCGAAATGGGCGAGGCCGCTGACGCAGGTGGAGTCGCTGGCAACGTCGCGGTGCCGGGGCCAGTTTGGGGCCTGTTAGAGAGGTGCAGGGGTGGAGGGCACAGTGCCAGGAAACGCAGAGGAGGCAGAGGGGGGCGGGGTTAGGGGTCGAGGGTGGGGGGGGGGGGGGCGCGTGAGTGCAGTGTGACATGCGACAGCAGCGCCGATTGGGGCGACCAGATGACAGAGTGCATCGAGAAGGATAGAGGCTGGATGCAAAAGTACGCCGAACTGCAGCTCGCGGGGATGGAGGGGCCCGACAAGGGAATTCACGAGGTGCCGGAGAGGCCGGGAGAGCGGCGTGTGAACGGTAGTCGTTGCCGCGGCAGGAGCACGCAGCGCGGTTGGGCCGGCGAATGAGTTGGTGCATTTTTCCAGCCCGTGGGCCTGCAGGAGCGGCGCGCATGGCAGCGCGGCTACGGGGTCAGCTATGCAGAATTATGGGCTAGGAATAATCGTGGGTGACAGCGAAGATGGGCCCATTGTGACGTTCCCATCCGAGAGGCCGGTTTTAGAGAGGCACTCGGGTCTGCGCGTGAGATGGTAGAAGCAGGGAATCGTAGATTACAGCGCTGGGCGATCCTGCCGAGCCTCAAGCAACGGTGCAGAAATCGGCGTTCCATGGGAAAAGCGGCGGCGTCCGTTTCGCCATCCGGGCCCCGCGCGATGTTGCAGGTCAGGGGGGAAGAGGACAATCGAGGAAGTTCGTGATGGGGGATGTGAGGGATTTTCTGGGCTTGGAACTTTCTGGGTGGACTTGTTCCGCGGGGTCTGAGTGGGCCCGTGGGCCCCAGTGGAAGTCCAATCGTTGTGAATTCAGGGGGAAAGAGGGCGGGCGCGGGGGCGGTGGGCCAAGTGGCGTGGAGGGCGTGTCTTTTCGTGAGGAGGCAGAGGTATTCAACATATACTTGTGGCCTGAGGCCGAGCAGTCCGTGCTCAGCCGACAGATTTCTTGATTGTCGTAACGACCAGTAATGTGTGACCCTCAGAAGCGATGGGGGGTCATCCATTGCTGCGCTCGAGGATGCGGTCTAGGCCTCGTGCGACGTCGGCGTGGGCGCAGGGGTTCGCCCCGTCGGGGACTCCCGAGCTGATGGTGAAGTGGGTAGGGCATTCAGAACAGTAACAGGTCAACTTAGGACATTGAAGAGTGGTTTGGGCGGCAAATATGGATTAGAAATTGGTGCAGCGCGTCCTCTCGTACCTTGCTTGCCTTGCTTGGTGGCTTATGTATCTTCTTTCGTCGACAAGTTGACGGTGGGTGCTGGTGGCAGGGCGGCCCGCGGGAGGTGCTGAGGGCGGACGCTCGACGCGCCATCGCCTGTGTTCGGGAAATGCGTCATGCGCCGGGGGCGCCCGCCTAAACGGGGGGGGGGCAACGACCTCAGAGCGCGGCGGGGGCAGTGTGTTTCTGGGAACGCATGGGGCCAGCCAAGATTTAGTCATCGGAATTCCAGTGGGCGCCATCAAGTCTGGCGAGTTAAGGTGCAAGGGGGGTGTTGGGGATAAATGGAAGTCAGATGGGGTTAACAGAGTGAGCGGCTTACCCTGGCAACCAGGCCCGAACGCGCTTGAGCAGGAGGTT